TCGATGAGCTGTGACGTGCTCGGCCATTGTTTCAGCGAGTTCTCCCGTAATGGCACTCATTTCCCTTAAATTAGCTATTTTCCATTTATATTTTTTAATCCGTAGGATATTATCGCCGGATGTTCGGAAATTCCCATTCGTCCTTCGGTACAACAAATCGCTTATTTAAAACGTAACGCAGAAGCTAAGTTAAGTATTGGCATTTGAATCCTTCGATCTTTCGTGTTTTGAAGCACCTTTTCGATTCTTCGACTATAAAGTGGCTACAAATGTGGCTGTTTACTTTTGTCGTTCGAGGTTTCTATGTCAGTTCGTCATTGCTTCGTCTTACATTCCAACTCGGTAACACGCGTCCGCTAATTATGCCCAGCTAATTGTTTGCATTTTTAATTGATAAAAAATTAACGGGACACTTAGATAGGCAGTTATTCATTTAAAGGACTGCCACTACTTGATCGACCATAACTGATTCTGCATTATAAAAGATTTAATGCTCATATTATGCCCTACGACCAATTACGAAATATTGGTAAAAGTTTTCAGGTTACATACGTAAGCTATATACGTACGTTTTTTCGCCCTTTCATTTAAATAAGCAGCGCTATGATCATCCGCTAGCATTTTTAACGACGCGTAATTTATAATTGATAACAAGACTAAAGCATTCTCGAACCTATAACTATCCTATAATAATAACAATATTATCCGCTGGCAAAGTATCTCAGTTATTGACTATCGAATTCCAATAATAGCGCTATTACAATTGGAATTTGAGTTTAGATAACTGTGCTCTCCCCCTCTTGCAAGGTTGCAAATTGAACTTTCCTTGCTATTTATATGGAGATTGAATTATCATGATTCGACACGCAAATACCATCTTTTAATTTCAATCGCGCATCCTTTATTTGTCTACGCGGCAGGAAGTACAAAGTAGAGAAAAAGTAGTCAACACGGTTCGTTTTGTTTACACACATAATAATGGAATTTAAACATTTTTCTCGCACAAAAATCGATATCAAGCGAGCATTTTTACACGGTAACGACATATAATGTTATGGCACGCAAACTTTGCTGAATTAAACCTTTAAAAATGTTGGGTCACGAGAGCTTGTTCCTGTCTGACGTATGGACGAAGAAAGAAGAAGCAGAGTCTGCACGCGAGATAGTCGAAAGGTGTACGCGCGTGCGTATGCGAAAGTCAGAGAGAGAGAGAGAGAGAGAGAGAGAGAGAGAGAGAGAGAAAGTGAAGGCACGTTAGACGTGTGTGAATTTGTCGAACGAGCGGTTATAATTCATTCGAGAACTGCTGCAGCCGCGATATTCGAGTTTCGAATGGCGCGCGACATGCCGACGCGCATAAAAAATGATGGGTTAAAGAATCGCGCGCAAAACAGAGTGAGAGAGAAAGAGAGAGAGAGAGAGAGAGAGAGAGAGAGAGAGAGAGAGAAAGAGAGATGAAAGTAGAATAGGGAATGTGAAATATATTAAATAATGATGAATTGCGTGAAAAAATATACGCACAGAAATGTGAATTGATAGGTGATCGCCCAATAACAAATTTAATTTATCCCTGACAACAACTAGTTGTTTCTTTTGTCAAAGTCACAGCCATGAATTATCTACTATAATTTTTGAAAATGTTTTTACCTATACTCGACGCAAATTATTTATACGTTTTGTCATAACCCATTAGTTTATGTTAAATAGCACGTCGTATACGCACGATTAGCAAATTAATTTTTTTATTTTTATCTCGTTCTAAGATTAAATAAATAGATTTAATATTAATAATTAGAGAAGTATCGTCGTGCTCACTTGGCATTTATTAAAATTAATTCGTCTGTTCGATAACAATATCGTTTATTCTAAATAATCAAACTCGGCGAAAAGTACATTGTATCGTTCTACATCGTATCCACACATAGTAAAAATTTTAGAAACAAGCCCAACCAGTGTAGGTATGATATGTGCTAATTAATTCGCAATACGCTTTTCCTTTTATAGATTGATGTAAAAAGTAGATTCTTATAAGTTAAGTTTCTGCATTAAAGCCTATAATGCACTTGTTCAGCATAACTGGTATTAGCATCTTATTATTAATTTCGAATGAATGAATAACAAGTAATAATGTATGAGCCCTTGACATACATAAAATGACAGAGATACGCTTCTTCATGGCGGCTTAAAATGCACGCCCATTTCATGAAGCTCGAAACAACGCTTACACTCGATATAAACATTTGAGAGGGTTTAAAATATCCGAGGGCTCTTTGAAATACAAATTAACGAAGAGCGTAAGCAATGATATCGATAGCCAACTCTTGCTTGGTCAAATATTCTTTTAATAATGACGAAAGGCATTTTATCCTCGCGACGGTGAATTCATTGAACAATAAGAACGTTAAGAATCACAAGATAACGCCACTCTTTTACAAAGTGCATCGTTATTATCGGAGCTGGGGTTCGCGAGTGAGAAAAACAGAGACGGACACAAATAGAAAAGAACATAGATATCAGACTCCGCGTTACATGGTAAAGTTCGTCGTCTCGCATACACGGGAAAAGCCTCGTGTATATGTTATCTCTCTCTCTCTCTCTCTCTCTCTCTATCTATCTATCTATCTATCTATCTATCTTTCTGGTTCACTCACTCGGGCGTGCATTCGCGGTTGAAAGGTTAAAAAAGTAGGTCATTGAGAAACTTTTCCTGGCTGTTTATCAAAGCGCCTCAAAGATTAGAGAATATTTTCCCAAGTGGCGCTGACGCGAGGCGCGTATCCAGAAGAAAATTCTCCTTTTTTCTTTTTGACAATTAAAGTCTCGTTATGAGGTTCAAAGTGCGTCCATATGTATTAGTATTTGTGTTTTATCCTGACTCTCTAATTGATTGTTTATGTCCCGTTCTTCGTGTTTATGTGCGTGTGCGTGCGTGCATTTTATTGCAGACGGGGTGCGTGGCTTGTAACAGGTGTTCCCTGGTGTTGGCGAATTTGCTATTCAGGCATATAAATGCACATAATTTTGTGCGAGACGCAAAGTGTAGAAAGTTTCAAATAATTGAATATTTCCTGCAGCTTTTAAAAATGCTTGTCTATGGTTAAATCGCGCCGCCTCACTTTTGTTACGGAAACAATGAAAGCTAAATGATTTGCAAATAATTATTTTATTAAAGTTACAACTGGTATATTAGATAGAGCCAATATATCTAGATGAAAATGATTATGAATATTTTGCAGTACTAAGCATCTTCATAAGAGATTGGATCTCTTCTTCATTGTTTGTAACATAAATATTGCTTTTTGATATTTTACGCAGAAAGCAAGAGAATTAAAACAAAAAAATAAAAAAAAAATAAAGCATTAAATGAAATTTACAAATTATCAAGTAGTAATTAATGAATAATTCTTTGAACATTGTGCAGGCTAACATACCGAAAATACATATTACATAAGAATAAAAATCTCGCTAGTAATCGATCGCCTGGTAATTACTGACCATTGCGATAACCGAAACAGTCAATTATAGGCTAATGGTTAGTAAGTGAAACATTTCGCTCTACATTAGTACTCTCATTATAGGAAGAAAGTTTCGTACCGTTCACGAAATTGCTTCAACAAATAGTGTCACTCGTCGACTCGACAGCAGCAGAATCACAAATCCGTCATAAATTCACAGTCAACGCGATCTCATAATTTTTACGACATTCGTAGAACCATAAAAGTATCCATTGTTATGAATATTTTAGTATTACATTTATTACTATTCCTCTTATTATCGTTATTATTATTATTATTATTATTATTATTATTATTATTATTATTATTATTATTATTATTATTATTATTATTATTATTATTACTGTTATTATTGGTATTATTGCTTTATGCTGTGTTTGGTTGTTTTTATTGTTGTTGCTGGCGTTATTTTTTGTTGTTATCACTATTAACCAACACTCGATAGTTGGCGTGTGTGTAATACGACGAGACGTGTAGAAGTGTAAAATTTATATAATTAAATAAGTAATTATGAAATTTACATTTCAGGCAATGATTGATTAATTCACGCTTATTGATCCGTTGAGATTTTAGTTCCGAACATCGAAAATGTGCCTGTTTTACAGATGCAGCGAGAATGTTTGGGTGCTCAAATTTTGTTCGTTCCCTCTCCCACTTTTCACGGTGTCATAATATTGGAAATTCACTTTACTAGTTAAGTCAAATTTTCGTTGGAGTTTCTAGTAATTGTGTTTGAATAGTGCTTTAACTCCGTTATTTTTCATTACACTTGTGAAATCTGGCCTCCCGATAATTATAAGGATCTTATAAATAATTGAAACAGGCTAAAAATGACATTATCCGCAGGTTCGAATAAACGTCTCGACACTTTATTCACCAGCAAATTCATCGCATTTATGGCTTGGATTGTTTCGCCGGAGTAACAGTACCGAAATTTTTTTTCGACCACAAGACAAATCGTAGAATACGAATCAACTTACTTACATTAAACTGACATGTATGTGAACATTTTTCTTTTCTATATTCATTGAGGCGAGAACGCGCAGGGAACGTTAATTGTTTCACGCTGCTTTTGAAAAAATGAACGAGATTCTCACTAACAAACAAGGGGATGCCCTCGTTCCAGTACATAACCTCAAATAACAAAAAATCGATGCGTAACAATAAAGCTAATCACTAAACATAATTGAAAGAGAATGCACTCATCGTGGAGGATAATTTGATCGGGCACTTTTTGTCACTGTACAGTTGACGAATCACAAAAAATAAGTTTTCCCCTCGCCAAGCGCAACCGAGCATTGAGCGAAGGAAAACGAACTTGCCTTTATCACGAGTACACTCGTAATCACCGACATTCACTTCCGCGTTTCAAGTACACAAGGATCTTGCCGGGGTAAAGCGGTGTGAAAAAAACATGAGAAAATAGAAGAGGGACTGATGAGAAATAAGGAAAATGTGGATGGAGTGAGAATGGTAGCCACCCACCTCGAGGTCCTCGTAGGTGCGGAAGGCGAGTATGGCGAAGCCATCGATAATGTCCTCCTCGAAGATGGGCTCCTTCGGTTCCTTGCACTGGGCGGCAGCCCCGGCTGCCAGGGCGGACTTTTTCCTGGGCCGTGGTGGTCGGGGCGGCCTAGGTGGCCTTGGGTGGCCGTTGTTGTCTCGGGGCCTCGGCCTCGGAGTGGCGGTCGCTGTCCCATCGGGCCCGTCCTCCTCCTCACCACTATGACTGTCCTCGGCGACTCCGGTCGCGGCCGACGGCTGCCGCGGCAGCTGGAGCTGGTGGTGCTTGGCCTCGCGTTGGGCGAGCATCCGTTGGGCGCGCTCGCGCCGCCTGTTCCGCTGGCTGCGCTGCTTCGCCTCGATCTCCATTGTCGTGCCGATCGCGCCGCCGGGGATGGCGGAGCTCGTCGCCACGGCTATGGGGCCGACGCACGTTAGCGCCGGCTGGCCAAAATGCTGGGCCCTTGGCTGTTCGTCCTCCGCTCTGGCATTGCCGTTCGTGCTTCTAGCGACGTTACTTGTTAGGACCGCGCTGGTCCCGCTGCTGGTTATAACAGCAGGCGCTGTCGCTATCGCTGTCGTCGAAGTCGTAATCGTACTTGATGTCGTTGTCCTCGTCGTCGTTGTCGTCGTCGTCGTCGTCGTCGTCGTCGTCGTCGTCGTCGTCGTCGTCGTCGACCTCGCTGATTTAGATGTCGACGCCGCCTCCTCCTCCTCGCGCCTCTTGCTCTTGTACACGACGTTGTACACAATTTTTACTTATCTCGAGGTTACAAAACGCCCGCCGGTCGCTATCCTCGCGGCGTGACGGTGAAGGTTCGGTTTTCGCTGGCTTTCCCTTCGTGTACGTCCTGGTGCGCGTATCTTTATCTCGTCTTCTCTTCCTTTTGTGCACGCACTCGTTCACTGATCAGCTGACGAAGCACGCGCGCACATGTAGGATAATCGACGCACCACTGCTCCACACCCGGAGGGAGGGAGGAACGCGGGGGGAGAGAGAAAGGGATAGCTAATTAAGAGCGACGTGACACTCGTCGGCGGACAAGGGTTAGCCACGATCCTCCCTCCTCCCTCTCATGCTTCCACAATCACAATGACGATGGGCTGTACCACGTCCTTGGGTCATCAAGGTGTTGCCTCTGCGTCAACCTGGTCTCTGTGGAGGTCAACAGTAGTGACGGCGATACGCTTCAAGCATCGATCGCAGCCTTTTCCTCTTTCTCTCTCCCTCTGTCTGTCTGTTCTCTCTCTCTCTCTCTCTCTCTCTCTTTCTCTCTCTCTGTCTCCTTGCTCTGCTTTATGTCTGGATTTCTTCCGCGGTTCCTTCTTTGTCCAGAGCGAGCGGTAGTTCCGCGATTGGAGCTAAAACAAAAATATGACAGCGATAAGTATATGACATTGCTTTTCCCTTTCAATTTCTTCATGCAGCACACGCGCACGCACGCACGCACACAAAAATTCAAACGCTTAGTAAAAACGCATCTGTGTATACGCGTGCATACTCTTGAAAATTATCGAGGGAATTTCTCTCTATTACAGCTAGAAATACTTGGCTTAGAGAGCTTTTCCCTGTTTACTTTCTAGCTATTGTTAATTTTGCTCGTATAATAGTATACATACATAGGATACAACAATAATCCACGATACAATAACGAGAGTAATTCTTGATTTTCATTTCAATGTACAACGGCTCTTACCATTCTCGTCCCTTCGACTTCCATCAATTTAACATATTTTCAAAATACCGGCTAAATAGTACAACAATAGAGTAAGGAGCTCTCATTAGTATAGTTTTATTATTTTTATTCCAGGTAAGTGGAGTCGTAAAACGAATCAATTCGCAGGAGCAAATATTTTGTTTAAGACATTAATACTCGTGACCTTGAGCTCCATGACCATATTGTTGTCTCAATATAGAGGTAAAACGGATTAGAGTTGAAAAATCTACTCCTCGAAGCACTCGCGATATCCCATTGCGAGTCCATACTACATTTCAAACAACTAACAATTTCAAAGCTTTCTCCCCGCGCAATATACTCGCAACACGAAAGTTATCGTCACTTTCATTCCGACAAATGCGCGATTAAGAAAATCTGACTCCTTAGCTGTCGGCCATCCTTAGTACCCATTGTTTACAATTTATTCAATTTGCGGAGATGAGTCGCGATGCCGGCAACAACAAATTCCTCGCGATTTTTCGTCTCATCCACCGCCATTCATTTGGCTCCCCGTACGTTCAATTAGCCATTCGCTCCCCTACGGAACTCGAACTCGTTTCGGGACTTGGACAACCCAAGAGATTGTTATCCGTGTGCGAATTACCATGTGTTTATGAGCCGCGGATTGGCCGACTCGACCGTCGCTCGTCTACTGCGTCGCGAAGCGAGCGATTATGTAAAAGGCGAGTTACGTTTAATGGACGATGCGCGACGTTCGTCTATAATGTTATTAACCGCTTGATAATGAAAAACTTAAAGAGATATATCGTCATTTACGTAAGAGGCTCGATTGCTCTTCAGCACTGCGAACGACATATTGTCAAGGGTACTTTCTTTTTTTTAGCTTAAAATTCGCCTCGCTGCTACGTAATAGATTCCGTTTATATAGTTTTACGACGGGATCCATCACTTAGACGTCCATCTTCTTATAACTCCTACAATAGTTTTTTTATTCTTTTCTTATTCGAAAGAGAGTTCACTGCTTTGCGCCATTCCAGCTTACATTGCGATGCTAGAACTGCGCGAATGCTAATGTTTCGACGTCACGTCGTTGCGGTACTTTCAATGTCGTACGCGTTACGCCTATTCCTCAGTCGTTCGACGTACATTTTCGCGAAAACCCCAAAATAATCATCATTACCTACATACACCGGAGATACGAAACAATATATTGGCCACGATTTTGCGATTAATGCAGAAAGAAGCAAAGGCTTCGGCGTACGAGTGTTATTCAAGTAGGTTATTTAGTATATTACCGTGCTGAATTATGGTTCATTCGCTCGTTAAAAATGAATCGGATAATTAGAATGCGATGTCGCGATCTGACGATATTAACACCCCCCCACCCACAAAAACACCCACCCAGCCAACCCACGACGTTCAGGTATCGCTTCTAATTCAGTCGATTGCCGCTAAAGAATAGGCGCGTGGCCACGGCACTAAAATAACCGTTCCTTCTTCGTCAACAAACTCGAAAACGTCGGGACGGCGTCGAACATTTAAATGGATTCGTCCGAGAAGAAAACGATAATGAAAGGGGGAGAAAGAAGACAAAAGGAAAGCTCGAGTTTTACTAGCCATGGCACATTTCACCTCTTTCTCCACTTTCAATTCATTTGTCAACAGAAGTCATTTCCTAATCTCCCTTTTGTTATACGAAGTTTCACCTCGTCCTCCATAATTTCCTATCCTCCCACTCTCTCGCGCATACATTCACTCATATGCACGCAGACTAGCAGGCAGGCAGGCAGGCAGGCAGGCAGGCAGGCAGGCAGGCACGCACGCACGCACAAACGCATCCACGCACCCCCCCCCCCGAACGCGCACACTTTTAACTTCCTTGTAGATTTGTTTTTTTTCTCTTCTTTTCCGTTTCGATGAGAGGAGATACACACACGTACAGTGCGAAATTCCAGACCATTTATGCAGGCACGTACGAAACGAAAAAGAGAGGCAAACGGGAGCAGACTCGGAAGAAGCAACAGTACAATCATAATTGTCATCGTCATCGTCGTCGTCATCAACAGTAGTAGCAGCAGCAAATGCATAAGCATCATCAGCATCAGCAGCAGTAACAGTAGGAGCAAACATTTTAACATCCCGGGAAGTAAGTAGGGGATTCGAAAACACGGAATTCTAAAGTTGGCTCTAATTATCCGTTGCAATTTGTCAGAGAGAAGCGTGTAAGGAATGAGGGAGAGGTACTTGGTTTTCCTGTCGAAGGCGAAGGCGCATCGCTGTCACCTTGACGACGTCGGCTGATCATTGTTATTAAGAATAGCAGTCACCGGTAGCCGTTTAACTCTCGCTCTCGCGTTCTCTCCGTTTCTCACTCGCACTGCCAATCGTTTTAATGTTCGCGGCTGCGGTTAGGCTGCGCCGCTGTGACGGATGGCGATGCGCCGTCGCTGCGATACATTGTTTCAAGCAGTAAGGAGACAAGAGAGAACGAGAGGAGCAAGGGATCGAGAGTGCAAGAGAGAATTAGAGAGAAAGAGAGAGAGAGAGAAAGAGAGAGAGAGAGAGAGAGAGAGAGAGAGAGAGAGAGAGCGAAATGCTAGGACAGATCACGTTCGAGTACAAACGGACACAGGAGGTACACCAACACAGAAGCACACCGGCTGCTCCGTTCCTGGCCAAGTGGCGAAAAGGCGCACGTCTCCGCGGCTCGCGCACACTCACACGCGTTCGACGCAGGCAGGCATGCATGCACACGGGAGGAGGGAACACGTTCACCGCTGCCGTTGCTACTTCTCCGTTATAATACTTCCTTCCTCTTGCTGCGCGCGAGCGAGCGAACAAGCGACCGACCAACCGAGCGAGCACGAGCACAAGCACGAGTACGAGAACGAGCACGAGCATAAGAGAGATAGATAAAGATATAGAAAGAGATAGAGATAAAGATAGAAAGAGAGAGAGAGTTAGAGATAGAGATAGATAAAGGAAGGCAGAGAGAAAGAGAGAGAGAGAGAGAGGGAGCGAGAGAGAGTGAGAGTGAGAGAGGACAAAGAATGAGAGAGAGAGAGAGAGAGAGAGAGAGAGAGAGTAGGAGGGAGGGAGAGAGAGCCTACGGTCGTCGCCGCCCGAGAGGCCACAGACTAGCAGGCTCGACCACGTTTGCTCGCGCACAACAAGCACAAGGGAATGTGCCACACGTTCCTCTCTCCCTCCTGTCCACTAGTCCCTTTACAAATATATATATAGGCAATGCTGTTGCTGCTGATGCTGCAACTGCTCTTGTTGCTGTTGTTGCTGTTGCTGTTGCTTTTGCTGTTACTGATGCTGCTGACGATGATGCTGATGGTTCTCAGAAAGTGCACTCACGCATGGTACGACAAGCTCGATTATGTGCGAAGGAAGAAGGCCGAGGTATAAATATATATGTAGGAAAGAGAGAGAGAGAGAGAGAGAGAGAGTGAGGGAGAGAGACGTTGGGGGAGGGGGGTGAAAAAGAGACCCGAAACCAAGTCTTATTTGTAATTCCACGGGCTTGTCGGATTACGATGAGGTTCAGTTCCTCGCGGCCGGCCGATGATCCCACGAATCAACTTCTCTCCTTCCCTTTCGTTCACAGCTTTGCGAACTTTACTTCAACTCTGTCTTTTGGTTTTTCTCGTGCTCCACGCATATATATGAGTATAATACATAACGCGTGTAC